TTCTGACAGCTACGTCTCTTCTAAAGCAAACAGCTCAGGACATCGAGTTTCTACAACAGGACAGGGTGATGAAGGAAATGAAATCAATTATTATTTTCTCATATTATCCAGTCAAAAAGATTATTTTCAGCATCTAGGGGTGCCTCAGTGATACAACCGATAGAACATCCAACTCCTGATCTCTGCTCAGGTCATGACCTCATGCTTTTGAGATCAAGCCCTACATTGGGCTCTGGGCTGAGAGTGAAGAGTCGACTTGAGGTTCATTCTCTCCCCATCTCTGCTCCCATACCCTACACGTTCCCTCTCTCTCTCCCCCCTCTCTCTCTCTTTCTTTGCATTCTCACTCCCTTGCACTTAAAATGAAGAAATAAACTTGAAAAAATATTTTCAGCATCTAAATCCTACTGCTATGATAGAAGCTTTCAGTGTCACTGATTTTGAGGGAATATTAAGTTAAGTTTGTCTTGGGACAAATTGCTACCTGTGGCAGAAGTGAATAGAGAATCTACTTTAGGGAAGTATTTCCCATGCCATCAGGAGAGACCCACATTACAACAGAGACATCTGCAGATCAGAGCAGACCAAAATCTCTAAGTAGATCATGAAAAAGCGGTGAGAATGCCGACATGGCTGTGTATTGCGCAAGTAGTGTGTTGGACCCCGGAATCTGGTGCTCTGTGTCTGTGATCTCATCTCATCTTTATAACAGCATTCATTATTTATCACTCAGGACCATTGTTGTTGGCCCTGTTGTTAGGGCCATTTCGCCTCTGGGAGAAGTGAGGTTCCTAGAGGCTAAACACGTTCTGCGAAGGTCACACAGACAGTGAGTGTCAGAGCGTGAACACGTGAGCGCTTCACGGGCACAAACCGAATCCACGTAGCTGTGCGGATGTTACAATATTTTTTTAATGCCTCTAATGTGTGAATAACCAGCGTCATGGGTGGACTTGTTTCCACAGCCAGGCTCTGTCCTCCTGCAAAAGAGGAATGAGGCGTGGGGGTTGGTCCGACGGTGCTCTAATCAGGAGCCGCCTGCCAGAGGCAGGTATTCCAGAAGCTCTCTCATCTACAACTTTATCCACAAGTGACACTTGATGAACTGGTCAAATGGATGCTAAAAGTGACAAGAATGGTGGCACGGGCATATCGGATGCAGGATGGTCCAAATGGGCTTTCGTTAGTAAAAGGACAGGTAGTCAAGACAAACGAGTTTACAGACTCTTTCTGCAATTCCTTAAACGATCATAAAAGTCCAAGTCTTGGGAAAGCCTGGGGGAAATCCTCATTGGGTTTGTCTGTCCCTGAGATCTCTGAGGGATTTGGTGGCCTGGTGCACAATCCTGGCTCTGGAACGATGAACAGGGGGAATCTCACTGGCATGGAAAACAAAGCATTCACAGGGTTTCCTGAGCTGAAGGACAGGAGATAGGAATGAATTTGCTTATTTGCCGAAGCACAAGGCAGTGAAAAACTTGGCTAATTAAACATCCCGAAGTTCAGCCAAGTAGTTCTGAGATTCGTTTCCATTGGAGCCAGGTAGGGTTTTACCAGGCCACGATCCACATGTCGTCTTGAGGAGCTTGACGTAGGGCCCTTGGAAGCAGAGGTGGAACTAGAATTGCCTAGCATTCCAAAGAAAGTTCAATCATCTGTGTGGTTAAAATTTGCAGAGGGATGTTTGTACCCTGGTTGGGGTCCAAGCCAGAGAGCAGAAGGAGGTATACTAATATGTGATAGTATTCCAGAGTGAAGAACCTGGGGGGTGTGTGTGTGTGTGTGTGCACATGCGAGAGAGAGACAGAGACAGAGAGAGAGACAAACAGAGAGTTGAAGGGGAGAGGAGAGTGAGCAGGAGAGTAGGAAAGTGAGAGAGAGAGAGAGAG